GGGAGCGCGCAGCCCCGGCCCCCAGAGCGCTGTGCGCACAGCGGCATGGCTCATGGGGAGCGTGTCTGACTCACCGTGGAGCCCCGGCCCACAGAGCGCTGTGCGCGGCGGCATGGCTCCAGGGGAGAGGGAAGGCGGGGGAGGGGCCGGCGGCTTGCTGCGTTCAGCCGGGCGTTCCGGCCCGGGAGCGCGGACCCCGCAGCTTGCTGCGCCGGGGAGTGGAGCCATTTGCCCACCCCTGCATTAGGGTGTGCCTGGGCACACCCGGCACACCTATGTCTGTTGGTCTGATGCAGGGTGCACACCGTGTGTAACTGACTCACGGGAGGGGGCACTGCTAGCAATGGTATAACCAGAAATATGGTGATGCCATTTCAATTACTCACATGGTTGCATTGGTGGATTTCTCAAGGGATTCAAATACTTCAATGTGGAATGGTCCATAATTTGTCTGATCCACCCGGAAGATCACACCCACGATAAAGATGGGAAGCCCTGGATGCAGAGAACAGCATTAGGTAGTTCCGCTAGCCCCAATTCCTGTCTTTGTAGGTCCCTGAAAAAGGAGCCCATCCTTTCTACTCCTAAGGAATTGACCGTGTTGTTCTCCCATACCCTTTGTCACCCTAGCGGTGGACTGAGGACAGTGCATTGAACAGGGATGGTTGGGTACAGCTTTGGGTCCTCATGTCCACACTGCTCAAAGGTTCCTGGGTGTTAAGGTCAGAAGGCACCACTGTGATCATCTAGTGTGACCTGCTGCACAGCACAGGCCAGAGAAGTTCCCCCAGTGCCTCCTGCCCATAGCTTGTGTTTGAGTGACAGTGTATTTTTTTTTTACAGACACAGCCAGTCTTGACTTAAAGCCTTAGTGATGGAGACACCACTGCCGCCAATGCTTTAGTGAGGGGACTGATCTCTAGCCTGAATTTCTCTAGCTTTAGTTTCCAGACACTTGTTCGTCTTATGCCTTTGCCTGCTAGATGAAACAGCCTCTGCCCTCAGAAATCTCTTCCCCGTGTAGGTACTTATGGATGGTGAGAAAATCATCCTCTTATCCTTGTGAGAGGAAAGTCTTCGGGTGGGGGGGGGGGGAAGAGGCCTGGCGTTCTCAGGGCCATCTCGGCCTCCTTTCGTACTCACCCCAGCCCACCAGGCAGAGCTTGAGAATGAAGTGTTCCACGTAGGTGTTGAAGACCTTCACCACCAGCCTGTAGAGATTGTAGCCCTCAATGCCCATCCAGGTCAGGCAGCACAGCAGAGAGAGGTGCAGGAACATGCCGCTGGCCTTGCAGGCTGCCTCGCTGTCGATGAAGGCCAAGTGCTCAGTGATGAGGAAGCTCACGTCCAGCAGGAAGATGGCCCCCAGCAGGTTCATGTGAATGTAGATGTTTATGGTGCCGTCTCTGTGCTTCCTCCTGGGAAAGGGAGAGGAAGAGATTTCATTCCTGCTCCTATCTGGGAGTCCCAAACCCAGCACCCACAAAACCCCACGATGGGGTCCCAGTGCTTGGATTCAAGCAGCTCACCCTAACCAGAGACACATAAGAGATCTGTGTCTTAACAGGAGATTGTGAGTGCCTATTCCAAATGTGATGGCCAGCTGATGGCTGTGATGGGTGAACACGCTGAGCCACTGGTAACTGCAACAGGTGAGCGATCCTGGTCCCCTTGTTCCACTGGGAAGCTACATCTCTGCTGGCCTTTGAACCATGTGTGCAGGCGACGGGTTTGGTCATTGCGTACAGCCTAATTTCTCAAAGGAAGCCTCTTTTAGCCTGCGTCAGCAGGAGCGGTGCCAGGGTTTTTGCCACTCTAGGCAGCAGCGCTCCTCCTCTGAGCATTCAGCGGCAGGGGTCCTTCCGCTCCCCGTCTTCAGGGTACTTCGGCAGTGGGTCCTGAAGCGAGTGAAGGACCCGCCACCAAATTTCGGCCGAAGACCCAGAGCAGAAGGACCCCCCGCCGCCGAATTTCCGCCGAGGGTGGCAAAATGCCGCCCCTCAAATCCTGCTGCCCTAGGCGACCGCCTAGGGTTGCCTAGTGGAAGCCCCGGCCCTGTGCGTCAGCCCCTTGTTAACGCACTGCTAAAGATCTGTGCGTGCCCACGCTCGCTGCATTAGTGCTAAAGACCAAGATGGCGGTTAAGATTATAAAACACGATTGGTGGTTCTGGGGGCCCATCTGGAGACCCCATAAAGGGGTCTGGTTTCTAGGGGTGGGTGCTCAGCACTTCCTGAATATCAGGCCCCTTTCAGGTGTCTCACGTTGGGCCCCCAGAATCACCAGTCCCTTTAGAAAATCTTGGCCAATCTGTGTGTAATGGCAGCCGAGGGGGATGCTGCCTGCATGAGGTAATGAACTGGTCAGCATGAGCACCAGTTACAGGCTGCTAGCTAATCCCCGGCCCCGAACCATAGTACTGTACCTGGAGCAGCAGCAGAAGAAGATGATGGTGAAGAGGGAAGCCACAGCTGAGATAATGCAGCCAATGTAGGTGATAATCGTCAGGTACTCCTTGTGGATGTAATCTATCTCTGGAGAGGACATCTGAGAATGGAGAGGACAGGGGAGGTGTTAGAGCCATGCTGGGCAAGAGCTGAGAGCTTTACCCATCACTGCGGAGACCATGTAGTGAGGATGCAGAGTGCGTGAGTGGGAGCTGGTACCCGGTACCCACCATCAGCACAGCAAAATAGGTGAGGTGGTTGCAACGGCAGACTGTCTGGTTATTACCCGTCTCTGTTTCACAGCCATCACTTTTCCAGCTGCCGCGGCCATCTGCAAAGAGAAAAGCAGTTTCCTGTTGAAGGTGGGAGGTTTCACACACTCAGCCCAAGTCAATGTTCAAAGAAAGTCTTTGACCCACGGTGTCTGCAAGCAGGTGAGAATGAGAGAGTGCTTTGCAATGGGGCCCAGTGACTCTCGTGCAGACCACATGGCAGCACTGGGGACTCTTCGAACCCAAAATCACTCCCACCCATATCTGCGTGGAGAGCAGGGCCTGGGACAGATTCTTTAGGATCTCAGGTGGTTCCCCCATGGATATCTAGCCATTCACAGAGATCTAGGGACTGTATCCCTGGCATTAAGAGGAATGGCAGGATTCACAGATAAGGGGAGGCTGTCAAATCAAGCCCCGTTGAGGCTGAAAAGGAGAAGTCACAGGGAGCTGGAGTGAGTGACACAGATTGGAGAAGGACAGAGTGAAAACCAATCAGCGTCTCCTGATGGAGAAGGGATGGATGTATCCAGCCACTGACCATGTGCTGGGCCAATCCCACTCCTACTGAAGTAAACGGGAGTCTTTCCATCCACTCCAATGGGAGTTGGACTTGGCCCAGAGTTTCTCTCTACAAGAGTTAAAATACCAAGGACAGTCCAGTCCCATGCTTCAAGTTGTAAAGTGACTGATGCTCACTCCCTACCCTGGGCAGCTAGGCTAGGGGTCTGGTTCCCACCTGCCCCGCACCTTGAGTTCTTACACCTGTGCAAAGCCAGCATAAGGTGCTGTCAAATCGGGAGGGTAGCACTGGACTCCCCCACTGCACAGGTGTCAGTCACTGCCTGCTCTCTCTGAGATACTCACGGCTGGAGTCCACGTCCCAGAACACGCACCGTGGAGTCACGTTCCTCTGAAAGGACAAGAACATGGGTGGTGATGCATGAGTCTCTCTGGGTTATTCATGGGGCAGGTGAGTTTGGCTGAGGGGCAGATCAAGGGGCAGATGGGGCAGGAGGAGAAAAGAAACTCTGGCCCTTGTCATGTGACTGGGGCCAGGAAACAAAGATCATTCTCTCCCCAGCAGTCCAGTCGGTCACCTCCTTTTTCAAGAGGGAGGCTGCTCCCAGCAACAGCCTATCGGGGCAGGGAAAGATCCGACACCGGCTGTGCCGTCTCTCTGGAAGTGGCTAGTTGGCCTGAGCTACGTGTTTTGGAAGGGGATCCCCTAGAGAGGATGGGGCGACAGAGCCGAGGCAGAAGCTGAGTTGGCAGGTCTCAGCCCCCGCCCTGGGCAGACTGATTGGAATGGGGCCGTTTCTCACACCTACCTGCAGCTGGACATGAAAGAATTTGAGGACCACGTCCTGTGGGAGGCCTGATACGGGGGTGTTCCCCACGGTGATGCCAATCACCTTTTCACCGAGCACCCTGCTGCTGTTCTGGTCCTGAAAGAGATGGAAAGCCCGTGATGCCAGTGTGGGAGAGTGACAGCTGCCGGGCACCAAGCTGCTCTAAACCCCCACCCCGGAGATCTCAGACCCAGAGAGCTTCCTTGTCACCTTCCTCAGCAGACAACACAGACCGAAGGAGGGTCTGCGCACACAGGCTACGGGAGCCGGCGCAGTCTCTCCTCAGGCTGTGCCTCGCCGCTGTCCCAGCTGATGTAGCACAGGCATCTGGGGGAGGGCATCAGGACACCAGGTGGCAAAGGCCAGATCACAACCCCCAATGGTCCAGCTGCTCCTGGGTCCTGACGCTGAGAGGAGCTGCAGGGTAAGGTGCCACCTTCCATACTGCCCCTAGCTGTACAATACAATGCTGGGGCCTGGGGTGGAGGCATTTCTTCCGGAGCCCAGCCAGGGACCGGTTTGAGCTGCAGTCGCTAGGCACAAAGGGAGATCGCAACCGGCAGAGCTTTGGCCGGAACCTGAATTTGGGGACCCTCCTAGCACTGTCCCGGTGTGTGGCTATGATGGGCCCACAGCGTTTTCCAGCGGGGAGGCACCGTGAGTACGCTGGCCTGGCTCCTCTGGGAAAGGGAGCTCAGGGCCTGGCTAAAGGCACACTGCAAAAAGAAGCTGTTGGGTCTCATCCAACTCAACCTGTTCACACAGGACACTGTGCCGCTGGGGACAGTTCAGATCGGCAGCAACAGCTCAGGGCAGTCTCTGGGCTGGGAGAGCAGGAGGTGTGGAGAGTCGGGGGAGGGGCATTGGCAGAGCTGGCTTGGCAGGGGGTGCTGTGAGTCGGGGCAGGGGCATTGGAAGTGCTGGCATAGCAATGGGTGCTGTGAATCGGGGGAGGGCATTGGCAGGGCTGGCATAGCAATGGG